GCCAGAGAGCTGTACGGCTCCTTAATGTGGACTATGTGCATCTGTATAAAGAAAAGAGTACTGTACTGCATCAAGGGCCCTTTCTGCTTTCAGAGATCAGATCAGTCACATAATTTTTTCAACAATGGATATAACAATATTAATAAAATGTTATTAATGACCCTGCTGTGTCATTGTGGTGTATCTGTTAGCCTTACTGAGATTTAAGGTAAATAAAAGGGAATAATAAGGGAATAAAACATGAAATTATTCACACTAACATAACTGCCATGCTTGAACATTTTTGATGTCAAAAAACCAAATCCATGTGCCAACAAAATTATTGACCTCTATTCAAATCTTTTTATAACTTTAATGATGACTCCTTTACCTCCATGGGGAATCTCTCTCCGTCAATGGTGTGCTCTGATCCTGGTCTCCCATTCCCTCCCCAGTGGAGGTGAAATTGGGCGGCTCTGTAGTGACCTGGCAGAGCTCCCCCAATGAATCGAACAGACGGCGGCAAAGCAAAGTGGGCTGCAGGGGCGAGAGATTGTCACTGAGCTCTCAGGTATTATGTTACTTTAACAGTTATTTTTATGTAAACATGTTGAAATTATTTGGTCGTTAAGGGAAAAAACACACTCTGTGTGTCAGACTGGATAAGATCGGCTCTTCATTACCAGAGTGCCCTTTGTTTTCCACTGTCATGTTGATTGTGTCGGTGTGGCCAATGAAGTTGAAAGGTGACAGGGCGATGTCGATGTGGACTTTGCTGGTCACAATGTTAATCGGTGACTGGCGTAACCCTCCACATTTAGGGAATTGAGTAGCCCAGTGGTTGGGGTCTAAGCGACACAAACAGGAAAAGCAACAGCATCATCAGATTTTAGGCTTCACTGACCATACAGAGTGCTGCCTCTCAGAGAGTCCATGAAGAGTGCCTCCCCCACCCATGCTGGCTGAAAAGACGGGATGCCTGCCTATTTACGTAAACGCTTACATATTGTATTTTTTAAAGACTTATTTTGGGGCTTTTTTGCCTTTATTCATCAGCTGAACAGTGAGGAGTAGACAGGAAGGGGGGCAGGAGAGGACACACAGCAAAGGCCTGCAGGTCAGACTCAATTTGTAAAGCAACAACAAAATGAATAGTGCTCAGCCAATTCACCTCATGAATGACGAATATTTGCTGGTGCTGTAGATCTCAATGAGAATGAACATCACTTTCTTCTGCTTTCATTTTGCTACTTTGGTTTTGCTTCTCACAAACAAATAACTTTATTCTGAAACTGATGACGTTTAACCAAACAGATTTTTGGAGGCCAGTGAGAACCTCTGTGGTTAAGCCCAATAATAAAATAAATGGTTACTTCTGCACTAAGGTTAAAGAAATGTTCATATCGCAGTGGTTTACATCCTTGACTTGCAGGATCTTTGACACCTTTTGGATTTTCCTTTAAAATTTTGGAGGTTCCTTTCTTTCTAGTCTTACCTCTGCATGGGTCATCACAGGCATTCTGGTTTTGATAACACCAGTTAGCTGGAGAAAAAGTAAAACACTCAGATTAGACCCAGAAACACACACAAACAGACACACAGATATAACCTGCAGTGTACACAGCGCTTATATTTATGTTCGGGATGGTGCTGCGCTGTGCCAGGCCAGCAGTCTCCCTGCAGTTAATAAATGAATATTAATTAAGTTCACGCTCTATTAGACACAGTGTTTATTTTTTTCTTAGTCAGCAACTAGCTGATCTGCTCATGTGTTTGTCCTCTGCACCTGAACTTTATTAGTCTTCACATGACACATGGGCTCAGTGTGTTAAAAATATGCTGTGTCCATTAATATGTTATCTGATAAAGCACAGACAGAATGTAGTAACATGATGTGTGATTACAAATGACTGATCCTTACGATTTATTGATTTATTACAATGAATCACCCTGCCTCCCTGCAAATTTAGTCAGACTGCTGAGCTCATTGCACTTTGAAAAAGTTGCACAAAACCGACCTCTGCAAAAAGTGAAAAAGACATCCAAAAATGTGTTCAGTGAAATTCATAGACCCCCACACTTATTTCCTTTGTTTACAAGAACAACAAAAGCTGTGCCAGAACAAGAGAGTAGTATAAAAATATATTGACCAAAGGTCTTACAATAAAATAAATTAGCAGCTTACATTTAGTTTTCAAACATGTTTTACTCAGTTCAAATGTTGGAAAATGTGTCTGTGTGTGACAGTGAGTGGAAGAGATGCAGGCGGATTTTAATCACCCAGGTCAGCTGGTTGTTATTACACTGATTGCTTTCAGTGCAAAGTGGCTTTATCCGACTCCTTAACTGCCTCTGCACCGCTGCATTAAGCGTGTTCATTCAGCAGGTGCTGATGACGTTATTAGAGTTGTGCCGTGGTTGTGTATTGTGTTTCTGATGTGAATGAAAGTCCGGTGTTTGACTCTGCAGTGGGAATGAAAGCCGCTATAGAGAACCATTTAGCTAATATAGGAACACAGATTAGCCCTGCTGACTCCCACAATGCCGTCCTTTGAAAAGGGGACAGTGGTTCTCACCAACTGAGAACAATACACAGCTGGAGGCTGGCTTTACACCACCTGGCTTATTCACCTGTGTGAGACTGAGCAGCGGGGAAAAGTCAGAGTGAAGTCTATGCAGTGATTACCTTGCTAAATTCCCAGTTTTATTTTCCTTACACTGACAATATCTTCTACAGTTCACCATCTGAGCTTTCAGAGTGGCTCCATGTAGCCTAAACCTGGAGCTTACACATGACAACGTGAATCCCTGTGAGAAAATCATTAAACTCTTACTGATTGACAGAAATTAAGAAGGTAAGTAACAGCAGGTGCTGCTGATCGGTTGCACTTAATATAGAGTGAGCACCTGTGTAAAAGCAGATGTTTTGGCAGTTTGCTGATCTGGAGCACTCGGGTGTTTGTTAACACGATGTCACAATCTTTCCAGGAGTGGAAGTCCCGGCAAATTTTATATGTCAGACTGTGTAGCGCTCAGAGAAACTGCAAAAACATTCAAGCGCTACATCTCAGACTCCAGGCCTCGGCTAAATGTTAAAGTTCATTACAGTAACCAGAAACCACAAGACATCTGGAGCAATGTCCTTTAGACAGAGGAGACCACAGTGGAGATATTTGGCCATGTTTGGCAGAAACAGAAACACCTAATACCAGCTTCAGGCGAGGTGGTGATGATAAGTGATTGATTTGGAGCCACAGAACTTTGGCACCTTGTAGTGAATTAGTCGACAGGAACTGATTGAAAAGATGCAGCAGGACCACAAACCTGAAGCTATGTTCAGTTCAAGCTATACATCACTCCACAGTGATGTGAGAGACTGATAAGACTATAAAGAAAATGGTTGCTTTAAATTAAAATGTTGTTCTTAGGACCTGTGGAAATGTTCTTTTCATAGGACTGTAGCTCAGGACACTTAGAGGTTCTTCTGCAACTTGTTCTGGTTGGTAGCGATGAGTTTTTTTGTGGCAGGTGTTCTTAAATTGGAGAAAGATATTGCTGCAAAGCAGACACTGGTCTGTTGACTTTTATGGCTCCATTCTTGTGACTCTTGTGAACTACAAGCCAAAACACCTGCTCCCTGGCAAACTTTCAAGATCGATTAATTTTTTACGTAAACTTTAGGAAAATGAAAAACTCACAGATGTGAGATTTGCACATCCCCAAATGGGAGAATTGGTTGCTTTTCCACTGCTTTCATGATCTAGACTAACTGTTTTTGAGTCTTGCACATTGTTTCAACAGAAAAAGACATCTGATGTTGCCTCTAGTCCACTTTTTTCCACTATAATTTGCAGGGCTTTGTCATTTAATCATATAGAAAAACTAATGAGCCTGTTAATTAGTAATAAAAATCATTGCTGTTTGCAGTTCAGCTCGTGATCTTTCCAGTTAATATTTAAACATTCATGAAGAAGTAGCAAGAAATTTCAAAATATGTTTTAGATAGTTGTGTTGCTGCTTTGATTCTTAATAATCTCATGGCACTTGTCTTCCCACAAATTACAGCATGTTTAATCAAGTGTGGCTGCAGATGTTTTATCG